CGTATTAAATTACTTTAAAAAACGAAAAATAATTATATCATTTGATTTCGTGATATTTTGTATATCTTAAAAATAATTACAGTAATACCCCTGTTCACTTTTTCCCGGAATCATGGGACAAGCAAAAGCCTGGGAAATAAGAAACCCTGCTTTGTATCACGTATTTTGGTTTATGTATTCTTAGTGTATAACACAAAGAAGTAGAGTGGTGCACTTGTCCTAGCAAAAAAAGAGCGAGAAACCACCACACGGCTTTTCTCCCAAGATAAAAAATATGTAGAGCGTGCATCCGCTAGCGTTATTATTCTATCACGTCACACAAGACGGCGTTAATACAACCAGCGTTCTTAATAGAACCGTCAAATTGAAGCCAAATTCAAAATTCCATCACTCAACGAGATCAAAAAGTAAAAATAAGAACATTACGTAAGACGAGATCATTACCCCTACCCGAGTAAGAAATCGTAAGAAATCCTCGACTCCCTCCCACCCCAAAATACCTTACGTAATTTATGGAGTTATCGTATCTTTGTAGAGTGATGTGTAAAAAATGAAGTTTGTTGTTATTTTCATTTTCCATTTCGAAACATATTTTTCTGGATGTCGTTGGCGTATCGAAGTATGATTTGAGGGTTGGTTAATTGTTAACAACAAAGCGGTTGTAGAACATTATACCCCGAAGTTTATGGTTAATATTGTCGATGTTAATCACGATGCGAGATCCCATCTAACTGTCTAAAGAAACCATTATTACAAATGAAATAATTTTTGACTAAAACAAATTCGACGAGTCGGGTTATCCATTTGTCACGGTTTAAACTATTTAATGTATTTAAACTTTTTTGGATGGAGGGGTACATGTTCTTTATATCCAGGCTCAACATTCTCATATCTTTATTTATATTATCTGTTACGACTGAAGAGGGGCATCGAGCCCGAAATGCGTATCCTTTCCTATCAATAAACAGACCCTTTTGCACTAAAAGTGTTCCCGCCCGATTCGTTCTGGACGGCAACCGTACGCTAAGAAAATGCGTATAGAGACCGAGATGGAAGCACATTAACCTGGATGAATACGAAAACTAATGAATTAATTTTACCTCTATATATACTTTAGACAACGAATGGCAGTAATATATTTGAGAGTTATTACGAGAGTAAAATGAAGATTTTCCTCGAGATAAATAAGAATTATACTTTTCCAAGCTTCTCCGCAACAGTCGGCATACTAACCACGAGTATATTTGCAATATAACTATAAAATATAAAATAATTAAATTTTATTTCTAATACAACTAACAGCTTTGACAATCGTCGTAAGCTTACCTTCCATATTTATCAATTCGTCCGTTCCATCGATTACGAGTTTTTCTCTTAAAATATCATTATAACGATTCAAGAAGTCCACGCTGCTGCTTTCTAACGGTTGAAAGTTCCCTTAAAAAATTTAATTTATATTTGTTAAAACATTGTTAATATAAAGTCTAAACTTACTCGAAACATCCTTCGGTAACTTTGCAGAAAGATAAAATTATGTTATTTTTAATTGCAATTAAATCAAATTTATTCACTTATGACGGGGCCCGAAGCAAATTCCAATGCGGCCCAATAAATGTGTAAACAAAACCGACAAATTTTTTAATTATTTATTTATTTCAACGGCATAAACTCGCAAAGTCGTAAATCTTCATTCATATTTTATTTTTGAGTGGAAAGGAAATATTTTCAAATACTTGGAGATGTGTCAATGAGGAAGAAATACTAAATAAAGCTGGAGTTGTGACTCAAAGGATTATAGACCCAAATTTGGGGAAAGGAGAGAAAAGACAAAAGATAAAAAGTAGTGAGAAAGGTAAAATAGATCTTCTGTTATGAAAATATTGACTCTTAATTTTCCAACCTTTCTCACTTCTTTCTCTTTTGTTCCTCGCATTTGGGTCTATAACCCATTGAGTCACAACTCCAGCTTTATTTAGTATTTCTTCCACCGTGCAAGATTTGGCTACATTGCGCCAAATGTGGCTACGTTTTTTTTTCTTTTGTTTGACGTAAAGATTTCATTTGGCGCTTAGGCTACTTTTTGGCTACATATTATTTATAAATATACTAGTTCAGTGGTTCCCAATTAGTGGTACGCGTACCCCTGGGGGTACGCGAAATTGCGTAAAGGGGTACGCGCGGCAATCTAAAATCGGTCGATTTAAAATTTAAATGCACGAGATAAAGCAATCGAAAAAATAACACAAGTCTTCAAAAAAAATTTTTTCCAGCTGCATGGAATATTTTTGCTGAATTATATGTTTTAAAGATCATAGATTCTAAAACTAACTTCCATCACATCCCATCACGTAAAGGTTTTTGCAAAATAAAAAGAAATTTTTGATAAAAACTCTTATAATATATTTAGTTCATTGTAATAAATATTTTCTTACAACTAATCAACAAATTGTTTCTGATATTTATACACAATTTTAGGTCTACTCTTTTTTCTTACGAAACCTTTCCTTCTTCTTTTTGATGCTTCTCCAAACTCGTTTCCAATTTCCTTCTCTGGTTTCTGGATTGAGCATCCAACAGTAGTCAGCTAACGTATTGACATCCAATTTTCCTTTTTCACGTCTCTCGATATTACGGACATCCCGGTGAAATCTTTCACTCCGTTCTTCATTGTAGGCTCCCAAGTTTTCGGGAAAATAGTCAATATGGAATGTAAGAAATGAACTTTTAAGCTATCTCGCATCCTCGAAATTCATACGCTGCTGCCAGCATGCTTTGTACAATGGTTTTGTAGTCAAGGTCCTTACTATTCCCCAAAAACTTATGCACCACATTCTTGAAAGAGTCCCACGCTTCTTTTTCGTTTTCTCTTATTGTTTCCAGAAATCTGCTTTGTCTCCATCTCCAAGTTTCAATTTGAAATATGCAAATTAAACTTTCTTCACAAACTCACTTGTTTCTTTGTTGACTTTTCACTGCGTATTCACCACAAACATAACAGAAGCTATCGAGAGAAATTACACAACCTCTGCCAGCCATATTCCAGAAATGAAAATACATGCACAGTAGCATTCAAATGCTGGATATAAACTGAGTGTGGCATTAGATGCCTGCGAGATACTAAGCTTATTTAGCTTGTCGAAACACGATCTAATCCAACAGCGAGTTGTTTATATTTATTCCTAGTATCCCAGAAAACATGTCGAAACACGCTCAACCTCACCAATAATATTACTCCCTATCAACTTTTAACCCGTTTCTATACGATCACGCGACCTTCCTCCTAACGCTAAAACTAATTAACCCAGTTCCCCCTACCACTACTCTCTTCAATCATTAACATTTTTATATATTTATTACCAAGTCCAGTTATAATTGATAGAATTGATGTGAGAAGTCTTCGTTTTAAGGCTATTTTTTAAATAAAAAGAAAAGAACAGTAAATTTTAAGTTAGGCTAAGACTCCACTACCGTAAAAACGGCGTAAAAACCCCTCGCCGTAAAAGCTTTTAATCACGTGACCTATTTGCGTTTGCGCTCGGATTACGGTGGAGGTCCGGCTAGCGCGAAGTTTTTACGGCAACGGTGCTGCCCCAAGTGTCGAAAGTAAATACTTCTTCGCACGTGAATTGGTAGAAACGAAAGACGGTTGTATACGTGACATAGCGATATAAAGACAATGATTATATTCTACGAGCTTTTTCTGTACTATAATTACAAATGTAGTAAAAATAATATCTTTACTTTCATATACTAACNTGGCATAACGTTACACGGACGGACATGCGTTCAATGGGTAATGTATAGATAGATATGGTTCAAATGCTGCCACTCGCATGCGACTCATATTGATCAATGCGAGTGTGGTCATGTGCGGATGGGCTAAAGAGTGGTAGAGAGTATGCCGTACGAGTCTAAGTTTATTTGGCGGCTCTATCTCATAAATTCATAAGTTATAAGGCTGCAGTAAAATGAGGTGAAATTGGAGTTTATGTTCGAAGAACCGCAAATGTCTATGCAAAGAGCCGCATGCGGCTCACGAGCCGCTAATTCTGACCCCTGATCTAGTATAGTAAAATTGTAGGACCGATAAAAATTTGATGTTATATTAGGGTCGTTGTTACATTTGATGACGTTATAATCGGGTTAAACTGTATATTGTTTGTGCAAAATAAAAAAATAATTTCGGACGATACAATAGCCACGATTATTTTTTTCAAAAATGGGAAATTTTTGTTATGCATCAACAAAAATTCAACCCAGGCCGACACGCAACAGAGAAAAATTTTGAAATTAGATAGGTTAATTTCATTGAAGATGCATTGTGGACAATCTCGTGGTTGTGACTGGCGAAGTTTGAACGATTGCACCCAAAAGCAGCAATATCAAAGAAGATAGGAGAATGAGAACGAGACCGGCATCAAAGTGATTCCGTTTTCGAGACACAGTCTTGTCCCAAATACGGTTTTGCATTTTACTTGTTATAATATTATGTTTTATTTAAAAAATGAAAATTACTTTTAAGTTAGAAGTTTCATCTAAGTTCATTTTTTTGTTGTTGTTGTATGCAGTTTCCAGCAAACTTTAATAAATTTTTTCTATTTGTGAAAATTTCTACGTAATTCAAAGGTAATTTTTAATATATATCTTACACAGCATTATTAATATGATTTTGGAGGTTGCAGAATTATTAAATTACTTTAAAAAATGAAAAATAATTATATCATTTGATTTCATATTTTGTATATCTTAAAAATAATTTATTCTGTCCCGAGATTTCTCAGGATCCTGGGAAACAGTTTACTTTTATCCCAGAATCCTGGGACAAGCAAAAAACCGGGAAATGAGAAACCCTAATCCCAATTATTTGTGAACGTGGGGGATCATTATATATGGATTTTAAAATTCATTTATTAAAATATAAATTTATTTGAAATTTATAATTAATATTTTGATATTCATTGCTAGAATTCATTATTAATATAATTATGTTTTTTTATTATTTGTAGGTGAGTTTTTATGCCAGTGTTATAATGTTAACAACAGTTTTTCTGTGGAAGATTTTTCGCAGACAATGCCACTATGAAATTCCTGCAAGAGATATTAGCAAAGGGCATAGTTGGTGTGTAATTGATATATTTTCCCAGACAGCATATTGCAGCATTTGCAAAAGTCTGATTGTTGATGGATGGTATTGTGATTCATGTGGAGTTTATGCTGATCAGTCATGTTTTAAGAAAGCAGATAAAAGTGTTTATTGCAAATCTTTATCTGGAGTTGGAAATTCTATGAAACACCATTGGGTGAAAGGTAAGTGAAAAGGATAGAGTTAAGAATGATAAATTAAATTAAATGTTATTTAAATGATCTAATTACAAAAGTATTGTCATAGTTATAATAATTCAATATTTAAGAAATTTGTTGTGAAATAGATTGACATTAAATGAAATACATTTATAGAAAAATTTCAATTTAATTACCTTTAGCTGAAGACTTTCCTTATTTTAAAATTATCATTACAATTTTTTTCTTATATGTTTATAAAATGTTTTATCAGAGTGCATCATAAGATGCATGTGTGACAAAAATTCCCTGTAAATGTTTTAGTATTTTTAGTCTTCTTTGAGAATTTTTTTAAAAACCTTCTGAAAATGATACTATAGTTATTCATATTCAAATGAATTTGTCTTAATTTATGTTGTGTATTCTATTTCAATAAAGCATTCTATAAATGTTTTACTGAAACAGAATGACAAATGCTTTTTTATTAGTGTTTTTAAATTGAACCCCTGAAAGTAACATACAGTAATAAGCAGTAGTTTCTTGTGTTTATGATAGAAGCATTGGAGAAATATATGAAATTTATTTTTATTTCTTAAAAAACCAATTATAAAAAGCAGTTTTAATGATTGATTTATACTTTATTCTTACTGCATATTAATTTTGCATAAGAAATTTTCCTGTGCAAGAATAGTATATACTGTAGTTATATTTTTATTGAAACATAAACATCCATGCATTGGCAGTTTGAATCTTATAAATGTGTTGTACGTAAACAGGATTTTAAAGAATGTCTTATTTTAAATACCTGCGATACTAGGTTGCAAAATAAAAACATTTAATTGGAATTAAATATGCACTTATGAAGGAAACAAAAAAACATCCTTCAAAATTATCTACTAAATAAATTGAAACAAATATATTAAATACATTATTATAACTATGTATTATAAAATCCATCAAATAGTTGACTGTATCTACACAATAAACTACATATTTCAAATAAAAAGCTTTTTATAAATCATTAAATTTAATATAAATCAAATAAATGTCAAATAAAATATTAAATAGTTGTTAAACATATTTTTATATTTGACATTGTTATTTTATAAGGAAACTTAAAATCTGGAAGTATTTGTGATGTCTGTGAAACAAATTGTGGTACAGAAGATTGTTTAGCCGATTTTCGTTGTTGTTGGTGTCAAAGAACAGTACATTCTGATTGTCTTCAAAAAATGTCAGAAATATGTGATTTAGGTCGTTTCAAATCATTTATTGTTCCTCCATTTTGTGTGCGTCTGAAATTAGTAGGCATTAAAGGAAGACGTCATTTAGTAGTTTCAGAAGTTCGACCACCTGTATTTAAGCCATGGAATCCATTGATTGTAATTGCTAATCGTAAAAGTGGAAATAATGAAGGAAGTTACATTTTAAATGCTTTCCGATCAGTTCTTAATCCTGCTCAGGTAAGTTTTGAACATTTTAGTTTAGTTATTGTAAAAGCATTGTAATAAGTATTAATATAGTCAGTTTGTGCTAATATGAATTGCTAGGAAAACAGTAGTTAGTTTGCTTTATTGCAAATTCATATTAATGTTTTTTCAGGGTCAAGATCAAGGTTGTATAATTAAGGCTTAACAGGCAATCAAAATTTCTTAAAATATAATACAGTATTTAGAAGTAATTTACTAAATAAAGTTAAATAAAAATAAATTTATTAACAAAAACAAATTCTAAATGATTTTTCAAATAAAAAATAATGGAGAAGATGGTATTCATCATTAAAGTGTGGAGCAGTTATCAGAGTGGTTAAAAAAACAAAGCTAAAAGAAATTCAAATATAAACGTCTTATGAAATCCTATACATAACAATAAAGCTACATCAACTGCCTTATTACAACAGGCTATATATCGGTGATAATAATTATAAATTACTGATTAATTTAATATGAGATGGTGCCTAACGCCTCCCTCTATGGTCAAATTAATCAGTAATTTATAATTATTATTGCCGATATATAGACTGATTTTATACAGCAGTTGATGTAGCTTTAAAAGAAATTCATAATTTTATTCTGTTGAAAATTGTTTGAAAAAGTAAAAAATATTTTTTGTGGGAAAAGTTAAAAAAGGAGTTGAATATGGTGCAAAATAGCCACACCTGGCATTACATATTGTAATTCCTGATATGCAAACTTGCATGTGTTTGCATGGAACTGCATCCATTTAAAGCATTGGATGTCCTTTTCTACAATTGGAACTCCTGTTTTTGAGTACAGCAGAATGGTCTGCTAAACCCAGATGTTTTAATTACTCTACAATTGGAAGTCAAACTTGTCTTTGCTTACTAGGAGAAAAAAATTATTCTACTCAAAATAGAACTTTTATTACAGTACCACTTTGCTTTTTACACTTTTTGATATGAATAATAAAATCATTATTGGAAATAGGGTTATTTCTTGGGGGTTATGAAGGTAATTTACAGTTTGGTTTAATGAATTCTGGTAAAACTTTTGTTTGCTTTATCATGTAAAAATTAATGTTGTGACAATGGCATTTTGCTGGGGCAACTGCAAAGTTCACTTTAATGTGAGAATTTGCTTTATGGTGTTCACTTAAGATGAGTCAACTGTATTTGAATTCCTAAATATTACTGAACAGAAGTAAGCAAATGCTGTTTACCAAAAATAAAAGCATATTCAACCAAATTCGACTATTAATTTAGAATTAAATCACTATTTTTATAATGCAAAGATTAATTCTACATAATTTTTATTAAAGCATTCTACTGACTCAAAGAAAATAAAGTTTGTATACTATCAATTTAAAATATTGAATCTAATATGACTTTTATTCCTTTATAACTTACTCCGAGTGAAAGTATTTTAATATTTGTTATACGAGAATTTACAGTTTTACTATTTGTTTATCACTTTCAATTTACATTATTTAGTTACAATAAATTTAAGGCTATAAAAACATAAAGACAAAACAAAATTTGAAATACTGAAGTTACATAATTTTTATTATATTTCATATAGATTATAATTTGAATTATAATTGTAATTTAAAATTAATTTTGAATAAGTTGTTTTATGTGTACCAATAAATAAAAGATAATAAGACTGCGTGTTACTTATGATTTCATATAAAAATTCATTACAGGTAATTGATATACATGATGTGTCACCTGAAAATGGATTGGAGTGGTGTCATTTAATATCAAATCATACATGTCGTATTTTAATTGCTGGAGGAGATGGAACTATATCTTGGGTTTTAAACATTATTGATAAATTAAAAATTGAGGTATACATTACATTTTTACATTTCTCTAATATTATATTTTCAAATATAATTCTAAGACATTTCTGTTATAAACATGAAGCTGAATATACATCACAGTCATCAAAATTTTAAATTGTTTTAGAATTTAGCAATTATAAGCAATTAGATTCTTGGCTTTAATTATATTTCTCTATATTTTTTTGTTTAACAAATATTGTGTTAAACAGTAGGTCAAATTAGTCTTCCGGAATTTCTGTAGACTTTATTGTTTTTTAAATTTGTAATAATAGCATTTTTTATCAAACCAAATCTGTTTAAATTTGTTAGTCGTTTTATTCTTACTATGTTTAAAAAAGAATGATTGTAATAATTTCATTATATATTCATAGTTCTTATATGGATTATTATTCTTTTCCTGTCATAACAGTTGGTCGGATTTAAAAGTCAATTCTCTCAGAAATCTTTGAATATTAAACTTTGCTCTCGGTCTATTCAAAAGCTTTGAGGGGGCGTCAGACTGTTTCGTTAAGTTGATTGTATCCTTATCCCCTTTTAATACTAGATTTATAGGGAAGTCATCAGACATATCTAAATCTAGAATTTCCATAGACAAACATTCATCTGTCATAGATTGAGAACATATAATAAAATCCCATGTGAGATATGAAGGTAAACTCAGCCGGATAATCGCCTTTGGTTCTACTATTCGGTAGAATCAAATCATTTTCTTGTGTAAAATTTAACAACATATAAGCATCTGTAGATAAGGATTTATCTTTCGATAGTCTTATATTTTTAATAATGCCACTATTGCCTGTATATTTTATATCCATAGTTTCTCCAATGCGAATGTTAAAATCACCACCGAATATCCAATAGTTTATAATATTGGTCCATGGATTGATAGTTTTTTGCAATTCTTGAAAGTTTGCCTTTTAATCTGATGAAGGAGAGAAATAGGCAAATATTAAGCCAATTCGTGCCTCTCCCCACAATCTGATTAATATCTATTATCAGAAATATAAAAGCGTTAGTTATATGAGTATATCTTACCAAATGTTTTCTTCGCCAATACGCCAGAAGGGCGCCCGAATTTGCTGTATCTCAGGGCTTTCCTAATTAAATCGATCAATTTCATTTATATAATCCGTATTAGAGAAAAGGAAATTTATAATAATAATATTGTTTTTTTGTTTTTTCATTAATCAACTTATCTAGTTCAAATTACAACGTACCTTTTAGATGGCCATTATGCTTAACTAGTGCATCTGGTTTTTTCATTTCTTGAGTTAAATTCTGCATTTCTTCCTGATAACTTTTATTCTCCTCTTTCATATGTTGTACTTCATTCTTAATGCCTTGAATGTCGTGACTTAACTGAGAGAAATTGTTTTCTATCAATTCATAAACTGATTTTAAGGAATATCCTGAGTATGATTCTACCTTAAGTGATTCTGAGATTTTCGAAGGTTTCAAAGCTTCTAAGTAGATTCCTCCTCCAATAGCAAAAATTCCCCACACAATAATTCTTCCTCTGGGTATTCTGCGTTTAGTTCTTTAGCACTATCTTTACCAGGCCGACCTCGTCCCCTCTTTTGCGTATAGAAACGGCCTACTTCTCGAGGAGAACGGGGGAAAGACCTGGATTAGGTTCTATTCCCGCCATTATTAAAAGGCAATTAATTAAGACTATTTTAAGACTAAACAATTAGTAATTTTCCACATTAAGACACTTATACGGGATTCGCAGTATTTACGTACAAATAATAGATTGAAAGAGTCTAACAAACTTCATCAAAAAACACGCCAGCAGTCTCGACAGTCAGCGTCACCTCCTTTGTTTTCCAGTTGCTATTTGCTTTATTGCATAGAAGAGCAATAAACTCAGCATGAAAGGAGGATGAAAATGGACACATTTTTGCATGTGTAGAAGGACACTCGAGGAAGTTACTTCCAATGAACAATGGGAATGGGAAGATCACCAGGTTGTAGTGATCCTGAGGATCATACAAATAATCGCCTGACACTGCCATTCTTGTTTTGTGATATCAAAAGAACATGACCATCATCACAATCCACCAGTTTGCACTTTGAGGTACTGTACCTCTCCCACATAATCCTTGTCATTTCTCTTCCCTTTCTTATTCCAGTCTGTTTTCGTTTTAATATAGGTTAAAGTACGTACTAGATCTCGTGAGCAAGATAGTACAATAAAGCAGACATCGATAACAAAATTTTTTTTATAACACAACTTATTTTTATTTTTCACAACGAACCGGTTATTTTTATTGGATTCCAACTTTATGAACTCGTATTAATTCAGGTCCGCAGGCGTTGAACAAATTTCAATTACACTATCAAACTTTTCTGTTAGCACACAACATATGAATGCGGGACGATCTAACTTAATCTATCTTATAACTAACTTACACTACCTTACAACTAGAAGAAGAGCGAAAGGAATAATGGAAATTAAGACTTAAGGACAGAGAGGAAGAATAGAAAATACACAGGTTTCCTTTTTTGGATCGATGAATTCTGGGATAAGACACATTTTCCGATTTTTTTTCTCCTTTTCTTTTATCCTTCTTTGTTTTTCTTTGCTTGCCGTAGACTTTCTTATTTCTCACTCTTTTCGGTATTCTACCCAATGTTCGCTTTTCTGTAACTATTCTCCCGAACCCTTTAGCACCTTGCAGTTTCTTTTCGTACTTTCTCTTCTTTCTTTCTTTTTCTCTCTCGAGCACTGCTTGCCACGTGCTTTCCTTTCGGGATCTCGCCATCTAAAGGCTGCTATACACCATGGGTTAATTCTCAAAGGAGTAACCATGCATGCCTGATTTTTAATCATTCCTGGAAATGTGTGGGGGAAAATTTAACAGTTTCGGCAAATTCTACCGACCACCTGGGTAGAAACGCCCGTATTCATCAGGTTAATCCTCAAAGGAGTAATCATGCATGCCTGACCTTTATAGTTCTTTATAGTTTATGGGGTACAATTTAACAGCTTCGCCGACCACCTCAGTAGAATCGAAAAACCATTTGATTTTCCTGCGGTGTGTCAGACTGAGTAGACCCACCAAAACGTGTGTGCCGTCGTATATCGTTCAGTAGTTAGAACAATGTCACGTGAAAATTTGGAGGAATTTTTAAAAATTTACGAGAGCGAACCATGCCTTTGGCATATTAAAAATAAAGAATACTACAATAGACGCAAGAAAGAAGCTGCTTATCTCCGTTTAATCGAAAAACTAAAAGAAATGGAACCAAAGGCCGATAAAGAAAGCGTTATAAAAAAAATAAACAATATCAGAAGCGCATACAGAAAAGAAATGAAAAAAGTTAAAGCATCAATCAAATCGGGAGCAGGAACTGATGAGATATACGTACCAAAGTTGTGGTACTTCAAATTGTTAAGGTAAGCTTAAATTTTTAATAATAAAATAAGACGAAAAATTAAGCATTTTATTTAGTTCTTTGTATTTTAAATGGCCGACTGACTGACTGATTGACAATGACGTAGCGAACATAACTGGTTCCCGAGGTACGACACTATATTTGCGACCCCCTCCCTCGCCCCCTCCCCTCCAGAAACAAAACTTGTTTGTCTTGGAGACCATTTGGTACCCCTCTGCGAGTGGCTACCGGGGGACGTGCCCTTCTTCCCCGCTCTAGCTACACCTCTATTGAGAGCTTTTCTTCGTTTGTGGGCAATAAAAAATTCTGAAGTTCCGCAAGGACAGGCAGTCTCGAAGGAATAACCCATGGTGTATAGCAGTCTTAAGCTTCTACTTTCTCACCGTTTTTGCCTCGGGGCTTCACACCTCCCTTTGTTTTTCACACGTTCTCAGAATTGGTAGTCTTCGCCCCCACGGGAGAAGGATTAAGAAGAAACGTTCTAGAAATAATTTTAGAACAAAGAGACAGGAAAGAACTTAAAACTAAATCAAAGAAAAATTAATATATACAAAATATACAACGATATATGGTCGACGGCCACAAAAGAACCTCAGGCTTAACTTTAGTTGCAATTATCATATTTACAATAGTAACAGGAATCACAAATTGTGTTGGCAAGTGGCAACACCACAAAGAGGTATCGAGGTTGGCAACAGAAAGAGAGAAAAAAAAAGAGAGACGGGTTCATTAGCGTGGGTTGTTGGACAGAACCCTCATATCAGTGTTGCCGTTCCTAGTACATTTGTACTTTTCTGGTACCCACATTAAGACACTTATACGGGATTCGCAGTATTTACGTACAAATAATAGATTGAAAGAGTCTAACAAACTTCATCAAAAAACACGCCAGCAGTCTCGACAGTCAGCGTCACCTCCTTTGTTTTCCAGTTGCTATTTGCTTTATTGCATAGAAGAGCAATAAACTCAGCATGAAAGGAGGATGAAAATGGACACATTTTTGCATGTGTAGAAGGACACTCGAGGAAGTTACTTCCAATGAACAATGGGAATGGGAAGATCACCAGGTTGTAGTGATCCTGAGGATCATACAAATAATCGCCTGACACTGCCATTCTTGTTTTGTGATATCAAAAGAACATGACCATCATCACAATCCACCAGTTTGCACTTTGAGGTACTGTACCTCTCCCACATAATCCTTGTCATTTCTCTTCCCTTTCTTATTCCAGTCTGTTTTCGTTTTAATATAGGTTAAAGTACGTACTAGATCTCGTGAGCAAGATAGTACAATAAAGCAGACATCGATAACAAAATTTTTTTTATAACACAACTTATTTTTATTTTTCACAACGAACCGGTTATTTTTATTGGATTCCAACTTTATGAACTCGTATTAATTCAGGTCCGCAGGCGTTGAACAAATTTCAATTACACTATCAAACTTTTCTGTTAGCACACAACATATGAATGCGGGACGATCTAACTTAATCTATCTTATAACTAACTTACACTACCTTACAACTAGAAGAAGAGCGAAAGGAATAATGGAAATTAAGACTTAAGGACAGAGAGGAAGAATAGAAAATACACAGGTTTCCTTTTTTGGATCGATGAATTCTGGGATAAGACACATTTTCCGATTTTTTTTCTCCTTTTCTTTTATCCTTCTTTGTTTTTCTTTGCTTGCCGTAGACTTTCTTATTTCTCNAATAAACTATATATATTACGTGTATATAGGCACGTAAACAAAGTATTCATAGAACTAGTACATTTTGAAGGAAAATAGTACATTTTTGAAGGCGCTTCAGTACGTTTTGAAATTTCATTGCGGCAACACTGCCTCATATGTACGCACCGAGTTCAAAGCGTAAGGAGTGCACGAATATTTACCAAACTCGAGTTGGTTGTAAATTTGTGTATATGAAGATGCTGAACAAATATAAAACTCTCTATCGTTGAACAAAATATTGTAGTGAAATCCTTCCTTAAAGAAAGCCACAGAATTAAACTTTTATATTTACGTAGTAACCGTGGTTGAATTCCTTTGTCAACCCAAACATATTTCACAATATTTACAATAGTTTAACACTTCAGTAGTGGTGCATGATGTGGTGATCCATCACGAATTTAAATTGTCAAAGTAAGCAAAGTAATGGTGACTTTATAGTGAATGCAGTCTAGTAATGACCTCTATTATTTTCGTAGCATTCCTCTATAGTCAGAGGGACTCTTCAGCACCTCTTCAGCCTATCTATATTGCTGACTGAATGGCCCCATTGTAAGCTTACCACTCTAGGACACCGAGTGTAGAATTCAAAAGGTGTCAACACCTCCCGAACATGGCAGGTCAAGTTGCAATCAGTTATTTTCAAATTAGACGTCACAAAATGCGCATTGTGGCAGGCCAAATGTCAATTTACAAGGGCCATTCCACGGCAGCCCACTTCCGAATCGGGAACAATCATTTTGAAATTTTAAGTAATAGACTGCATTTGCAATGGGATGTTTGTTTGTACGGGCATACTACGGCAGCTTATGACCCGAACTAGAATAAGACATTTTTAAAATTTAATACAACAGACAAATTAATAAACACGCGCTGTCTATCTGTTTTCCTTGAGCATAATATAACCTTAATTAAAATAAGAAAAATCACCAAGCAAACGACTCACCGGGAAATCAGGAATTTCCCAGTGTCAGTCCACCACTGCATCAAGACTTCGTAAGTCAAAAAGAAATTCCATAAAACATATTTTATATTTTGAAATGAAAAATACTTAGGGCTCGATAACACGTGCATAAATTATGTTGTTTTTGCATTTTTGATGCCCTATAATTCAAAATCTGTCCATTTTTGACTTTGTATTATCCGGATCACTAGAACTATAAAATATCAAAGGTTCATCCACATCTATCAGAAGCTACTTCCCGTAAAGTTTGCATACAGTCCTTTAACAATTAATATTAACTTGTAAATTTTTCATAAAAGTATTAACAAAAAGAAACTGATATTTTACCAGATGTTACTTAAGTGGTAAAACTTGTGAAATTAGGATTATTGTGAGAGAAGGAAGAAAAGTTTGGAGAAAAATTTGGTCATTTTGCCGAATTGAAATAGTAGCATTAAGGATTTCTTTCTATTAAAATAATGAGAGATCTTTGGCGTAATGGTCCGAAATTTGTTCAGTTAAGCAGTTTTTTTTTGCCTTTTGTTGCTAATTAAAATTGAAGAATGATTAATTATTTATGAAAGTTACATAGATAAAAAGTTAGTATAGAATATTTAAAATATATATTACATTTTTATAAAAATTATCATTAATAAAAAGAAACGGCAATTTCTGTTTAATGGCTTAAAATTATAATAATGTAATTTTCATAATTCCGTTATATTGTTATTATCGATCTTCTAAGCAGATTTTCTAGAATAAACTATTGAATAAAACTGTTATTCGACGGTCCTAATGATCAAATTACCTTTCAGATATCCGTGACCTCCGCAAGCTTCTCTGCTTTCTTGAATAGCATCTCTGGCCAACCAGCCCGAGACGGATTTGATACCGCACGATAATGCGTGGAATTCCATCGCTCGATTAATCTACAGTTTTATACAAAATAGGTCAGAAACTCGATCGGAATTAAAGTTAAATTGTTGCATGGCCACTCTTACCATTTCTGTAGTTCTCTCGCCAAATGCAAACGAAATATTGAATTCGTAAAAGTCGTGCCAAAATAACTTTGTGAAATGTGTAAGAACATACGTTGAAGCCAGATAAGGGATTAATCGCCACTGCTACAATAATAATAATAAATTATTTATTTAACACATCCCGTCGGTGTACCATAGAATTAGAAAAAATCAATAATAAAGCATTATATTAAAATTTTAATGATGAATTATAATTATGTATATTCTATGTCGATGTTTTCACTCTCAAATTGGGGAATGGATGGGTGGTCACCAGTGGCGTGCCGTCATCGGAAGCGGTGAACGCGCCGCTTCCCTCGTATCTTCTAAAAAATAAATACATATTAATTTTAATTATACGAAAATAATCGCGCAATATTTTATTATAACCGCATTACCTATCTTATTGCAAACTTCTATACTACGCGTGGAAAAAAACGATAAGATGGCTATCGTATATTCGAATATTAGTGGCGAGGTATCGTTGGCATCCAAAAAGCCGGATTCGCGCGCGCGCTTTAAAGAGCACCGACCTCACCCGGTTTAGCCGGCGGAAGCATAGGACCTCGGGTGGACGCTACGCGTATAACACATCCGATTCTATCCGGGACCGGTTCCGGACCGTTACACAGTGGGGCCAAATCCCAAAACGCTGGCCAAAAGTCAAAAGCGTTATCAATTTGGCTGAAAGTCAGTACTCGAGAGTTTTCGGGATCGCCGATTACGAATCCCAAGTCAAAATTTGAAATAAAAACAAAACGACAGATTTAACACGAACCGCTTTTATAGAAAAAGTACAAAATAAATTCATATATTGTTTAATACAATAAAACATACAATCGGTTGATTAAAAGTTCACGCATCGTCATCCAAAGAATAATTTGATTCGCAATCAGATGATTCAACTTTGAAATCGCTGGAGCTTCCCGTACTCGCTGGTATACGTGGCGCAACTAACAATAAAACTGCTTCCGGAAGCAACGACTGAGTTTTTCCGAGGTAATTCGCGCAAACTCGAAATAAACGGATAGGATATTAATAATAGGTCTTCCATTGTTTTCGCTCGGGAACTTTTCTTGCAAAATCTTCTCGAAACTTTTTAATGTATTTATTAGTAGACTCTTGAGCGTCTTCAAACATCTGCCCTATCGGCAATACCGATGAATTTATCACTTCTGCACCACGAATCAATATCTTATGTACCGAAGTTGGCACGCGGAACCACGGATATAATGCGCAAAGTAACGAGCTGTCTGTAAAGCGTAATCTTGAAATTCTATGAAATCGATTTCGTGGCCACACGAAATTGTCTGCAATATGACACGAAAACGCTTAATCGAGTCCTCGTCAACCCCCTGTAATAGCGGCAGAAATGCTCGAGTTTTCGAAAAATCGTCGAGCGGTATTCCAATCATTCGAGCTACCGAAACCGGGCTTTGGTTGATCGACTATTAGACCCGATTCTATACGGAAACCCTTCTGTATATTCGTTTTTCAGGGTCTTATTTGTTTATTTACTTTATCACTATGCGCTTGCCACAGTTTGATTTCAAGCTTACATGCTACACGCAAACAACATTCAAAACACACAGACAAATTGGAGAAAAAGAGCAAAACATTCCGCGTCGTTAATGTACAAAACTCAGAAAACTGCGTTTTACATTGCGAGAAGTCGCACCAATGACACGATTGCGGCTAGTTTTAATTTTTTTCATTCAATAATAGTTCCATCTACGACACGCGATCGGTCCAGTCGCGGAACTCTACAGAATTTATGAACTTTTCTCTACGTGTTTAACTCGACCGATAAGAGTTTACTGGTAAATTTTTACGATAGTTCTGTACAGTTGACGGGATTTTTAAAAAATCCATTAAAATATTTGATATTTTTATTCCGCTCTCCGATTTTATACTACTCGCGGATTTCGACGTTAAACCGGTGATAGTACGATTTCGTATATCCCTATCCCGTCTCTAAGGAAATGTAGAAAAAAACGCGTACAATTCTCGTACGATGTTAAAAAATTAACCGTTACTTCGACAGCGTCATTTACGACTATATTTACTGAACGAGAGCGATACGCGGGGTACAGAAAAAGCTCTAGAATTTATTTTCCTTAAATTTACGATTTACGTATTCGTTTGTCGTAAAAATTTGTCTTTCCACTTTTTTCCCGAGACAACGAATATTCGAGTACGAAGTAACCGGTTTCGACTTATTTCAATTTAAGAAGTGGTTAAATAATTAAGCGATTAGGGAATTGGGGAAGTAAACAGAACCCCGACGAAAAAGCCGAAATTTTACTCAAACGAAAGCTTAACCGAACCGTCTCCAGCCGAGTACGGTGAAGACCGATTTCTTCGTATTATTAATGTAATAAAGACAGAAATTTTTCCGGTTCGACGAGAGTGACCGAAAGTTGTAAATTTTGGAAATTTCCGAGGACACTCGGTCCTAAAACCAATTAGTTAGAAAACAAATGACTTTTAAGTTTAACATATTTAGATTCTTTACGGCTATGGTGAGAAACGTTTAAAATCTAGCCTCGTCGCCTCCTTCGAGATATACTAGCGATGCGACGAAAGAGGTATTTAACATTGACCGGTAACGGCACCATCGGGATTTGGCAGTCCGCGTGCACGCGCGCTGGGCAACCGTCTTCGATTCCACCCGGTGCGTTGTTTTAAGATTTCAAAAGTAAAGAATATTTTATGTTATTTTTATGTACGTTTCTTTACAAAGCTATATTTAATTATAATTTTCTTTAAAAGTATATTCGTACGATTGACGAATATTTCGCACCGGGTATGTACCGGTACATCCACCGCACAGTTTATTTCACCGAGTAAGTTTTTATTATTTTATTTATAATTGTAGCCCTTATATCGCGGCTAGCGATTCGGAATGTAATTGCCATATTAAAAATACATTTAGAGAAGTCTACGGTTTTTACTGGCTTATCGAATAAACGATACGAATGGACCCTAGACCGTCGCTGACGCGCATTTGACCGATTGCCCCCGGATTTCGGCTTCCCTATCGTCAAATGTCACGGCGCGCCACTGGTGGTCACAAAATTTACATTTTCATTTTTCCAATATTGTTGTGGTGACCAGATGTAATGGACGAGGTGGCTAGGAAAGAGAAGTTGACTGGATGTGATGATGAGAGTAGGGAGAGAAGTTAGGATCTGTACCGAGTGGAGTGAAGTTGTGTCTTTTTAAACCTGTATAAACCTTTGTGTAAGAAGTCGTGTTTGATTTTCCATCACTTTGCAACACCGAAATTGTTACACAAACAGTGCACTCGGTAGAGAGATACGACAATCTTACTTCACCACCTATTCCTGCGGAGAGAAACTATTTATTAAACGAACGTTTTCAACCCATTATTATAGGTGATATTCGGGTTTTTTAAATTTGATAATTGAATATTCCGTGTCTGTAATGATTTCATATTCGAATTTATATTTATACTATAAAATTCCAAATTACACAGTTAAATTTGAACAAATGAAATAAATGTACAATAAACAAAATATGATAATAAAAAATAAAATTAAAAGTAAATATAACATAAAAATTGCAAGTAAAAAACAAAGATGATTGCAAGATCATATAGGACTTAAATGTTCTTTTTCTCCCCTTATAATTTCTTTTCTATTATGCATCTCCATGCTGAGGGCAAATACAGCATCTCCAGGCATTGTTCATTAATTTTACTCTTATATACAGTACTGTATTTCTATTTTTTCCATGTTCATTACAAAAAATGGGAGTAAAAATTTTATATTTGAGCCTTTTATTTGTAACATTGTTGCTAATATTGTGTTAGTATTTTCTTTTTCAATATTATATTTATGTTCTTTGAGACGTATCGTGAGGTTGCTTTGCATAACACCAAAATAATCAATTTTGTTTTTGATTTTTAATTGTTATGTTATATTTGCTTATAAGTTTTATTTAATATTTCTTAATTTTATTTTTTCTCTTATTGTATTTTGTTTATTATACATTTATTTTATCTGTTCAAGTTTAAATCTGTAATTTGGAATTTGTGTCCATCAGTTACAAAAAGCATCAATACAAAAACAAAGAGTCCCATGGTCAAGATTGTAAGGTTACGTATCTCAATCAGTTTTATGATTATAATTGGTGAAATTTTTTACTTGATCACGGGGAAGGACGAGTGCCCATTTCCCCCGAGACACCCGTGGTCTTATGCATTTAGACATCTATGTGCAGTCGTATGTATATACGGGGTGGGGCAGAAAGGACAGACATTTTTTAAAAAATCACATCATCTGTAATTGTTACTACAAAAGATATTTCTTGGAAGATGTGAGTTCGTATTGAAATAGCATTTTACAGAATCGAGTGTGCAAAACAACATCTCCCGTGCGGTGTCCGTTATCGGTGATGCATTTCTGCGGGTGATTTTGGAGACTTCCCAGCAAATATCTTCCTTCGGTTCTTGCAAAGTATGAGCTTATGCTCATATACGTGTGTATTGAGGTGGCCCCGCGAGAAATAATTGCACGTGGATAAGTCGGGCAAACCTGAAAATGAGGCAACCGGGGAAGAGACGACAAATAACGTCAATTGGTGCTCTAGCTGTGGGTCGTCGCCCCATCCTGTCGAAACCACACGCATCTGATGGGGATACATTTCCATCGTATGCAAGGATGCAGAAACGTATTCCCATCAGATGTGAATGGCTGAACGATCCCCTTTGCGTACGACTGTATCTTCAATTGTACGCAAACACAAAGTGTTCTATAGTTCGTGGCTCCGTGCCTTCAAATGAAAAGACAATGCTAAGACCTCACTACTTTCACACTACCTGGTGGCGAGTTGTAGCCATTTCAAAAACATTCGTCCTTTCTGCCCCACCCTGTATATGTATATTTGTGATAGATTTTTTTGTTATATATCTATCTATATTTAAGTATAATAGAATCATATATCAACTGATTATTCATGTCTCTCCCATTTCATTCATATAGGAAACTACAATAGTATATTTCTTTTCTATTGTGTTCCTTGAGCTTCTTTCTAGCAGCCATAACAAAAAAGAGTTCTTCAGTCTGGAAATTTTTTTTTTATTATAAAGCAATCTTTATGTATATAATAAATCTTCCTCATTGTATCCATTTTTAGAATTACTCTTTGTTTTAACTAAAGTGAAAGCATTCATTTAATATTGAAATTAAATGATCATCATAATAATTCAAGAAGAAAAAGTAGCACATGTTCAGTTATCAAATATAAGTACTAACCTGAGTTTGATATTCTAAAACAGGCAGTTCATGAGAAGGACCAAATTGTTTTCTGACAGCTGAGTATCTAATTGAAATGGCCATACATTTCTGCATATTTCTTGCACATATGTTGGAAATAAAGACTCTACCATAGGAAAGAGAACCAAAAAGGGTACGCATACTTGTTTTCGTGTCCTGAAAGATCAAATAATTACATTCAATTTTATATATTAAGCATTAAATTATTCATAAATATAAAACACATCTGAAGACATCATTCTTTTTACCATTCCTGAATGTATAATGGACCTTTAAAAATACTTTAAAACTTCAAAATTAAATGAATTTTAAAATATAAACATATCTTGAAACATACTTTATATAAGTTTTTAGATTTACATACTGATATCAAAAGTATTTTGATTTAAATGTGAAAATATATGAACAGGTATCCTCCTTAATATACTATAATATTATAGATAGGTTCCTAAAAAATACAACAACTTATAAAAGTGCAATATATAGTTACTGGATGTCTTTTGTTTCAAAGGATAATCCTTTATTTTTACAGATATTATAATAAATTAGTTCTTTCCCCACCTTATAGCCAAAAATGTTTATCAAAACACTTACTAAAACACCTTTTCTTGCAGCCGAAGTTTATAAGAGAAACTTTCTAACGTTTTCGGTCTTGTTAAAAGACCTTTCTCAAGAAAATAAATCAAATAAAACAACAAATTGTAAATCGAACGCTTAGTACAGTTAACACGTTTTTCGAATCTTTTCCAACTAGCTTATAATCCGTTGCAAATGACGTCATTGTGAACTTAGCAACGGAAATATAAAAAAGATTACATAAATATCTAAATATAAATACACATAGTTACCCTCTCCCAACCTCATTCAAAAATACTTAGCCTAAGATATATAGTAACTACTTCCCTCAATTATTAAGTTTATATTAAACTAGAGGACCATGCTGCTGATATTTTTGTCGATTCCCGAAAGTTGACTGCAAGGCCTTTATGCTTTGCCTTACAAATCTGCCAGGCTTCCGCGTAATGCCGGTGTTTCTTGTCGCGGACTATCTGCATTAGTCTTGCTTGGTCCCATTCAACTTTGACGTCTTGCTGGTCCGCTAGAACGTAGGTGGCTAGCGCAGTGCATGCTTGTTTTTTTCTTATATTTGCTTGATGTTCTGCTAAATATCAGCAGCATGGTCCTCTAGTTTAATATAAACTTAATAATTGAGTGGAGTAGTTACTATGTATCTTAGGCTAAGTATTTTTGAATGAGGTTGGGAGAGGGTAACTATGTGTATTTATATTTAGATATTTATGTAATCTTTTTTATATTTCCGTTGCTAAGTTCACAATGACGTCATTTGCAACGGATTATAAGCTAGTTGGAAAAGATTCGAAAAACGTGTTAACTGTACTAAGCGTTCGATTTACAATTTGTTGTTTTATTTGATTTATTTTCTTGAGAAAGGTCTTTTAACAAGACCGAAAACGTTAGAAAGTTTCTCTTATAAACTTCGGCTGCAAGAAAAGGTGTTTTAGTAAATGTTTTGATATTACAGTATGCAGTCTAGAACGATTTAAAAATGTTTACTTTATAATTATTGCTGGATTAAATGTTGTTTGAAATTTCTCTGAAGTATATAACGTAACCACTGCAAACACTGGTTATAATTATATACTTCAAGTAGTCCTTTTAAGTACTAAAATGAGTGTTTGCAGTGGACACATTTTTGTTCAAAATGTGTCCACTGCAAACACTCATTTTAATACCCTAACGGGATTTATGTTCATGACCCTAATTGTAAAAATGAAGGTCATGAACATACATCCCGTCATCATCAAACTGTTTAGGTGTATAAAAGTTCTTTTAATACTGCTTTTTGTGAATACATAATTTTATACACTAAACATTTGTAGTGCAGTTTGGATTAGAAAGTAGGTCATACGAGTGGCCTCATGAGTGAGCGATCGGATTTGGGATGGATACCGCGAGATAGCGAGCAGGAAGTGACTCGTGCAGAGACTAGGTTAACAAAAACCGTTTATTTGTAAAGGAAAATACATTTTATATTGTTAAACGAGTTTTCTTGATTGAGTTAAAATGGGTCTAGATACCTCCGTGTTTCTCGAGAGACAGAGAGAGAGTATACACGAGGTTCGCATGACAATAAATACCTGTAGTTGAAGGATCTGGTTGTAGACTTGATGTTGGAGAAGATTTGGTCTATTCCTTAGGAAGGTTGAATAAATGCAAAGGTTGGCATGTTAGAACAGTTCTAGATAAGATGTATTCTGGGTTAACAACGAAGTTATTCCACATATATATAAACATCAACTCACAGCCCGAGTAGATAATAACAACACCAAACGATCGCCTAATTATCGGGCTATAATTATAGCCCGATAATTAGGCGATCGTTTGGTGTTGAAGTTATTCCACTTCGGAGGCACAATTGTTTCGGGTCCGAGTCAATAGGGTAATTCGTTTGGAACACAGATTATTGGTCGAGGAACTGGCGACAACTGCCTAAACTTGCAGTTTCTTGAGTTCCTTGTTATATTAAACTGATGAAATCGAGACAGTAGGTCGGAAGGTTATGAGAAAGCGTCACCTTTACTGTTTAGAACTTAACAAACAATTTACTCCCAGTGTGAAAGTTGACAGTTATCTGACAAAATTTTATTGCCAACATGTTATGTTATGATTTATTTATGTAAATAAATTACATAGTGCAGAGTCTCACATTTGTAACGGATATGATATATCATTGTTTTTTTTCGTGCAAAGAACTTTCTGAAATAAAATCTATTGTCGGGCCTGATTTCAACTATACTGTAATAATGATATTCTCAGTATGAAAACTGTGTATAAATTGAAGGACTTTTTTGTTCAAATACTAAAATTTTTATAAGTTTTCATCAACCTCTTCATAAAAGCTATTGTTATATCTATTAAATTAATTAATAAAATAGTTAATATTATTATTACTAATTTGATACAACAAAACTTAATTGAATACAATTTCGTTGATTATATTGTATATTTTAAGATGGGATTGCTCTCTATGATTATAGTCTTAATCTGCCCCTGAAAGTGTATACACATATCAATAGGAAATATTTATTTTATTGTATACTAAGCTGTACATTGGTATACAATATAATTTATTAATTTCTAAATAATTGAAAAATACACCATGAAAGTATTAAAAAAATGTAAAAATAAAATAAAATAAAACATCTGAGTAAAGTATACACATATGTTTACCATGCAGATGCATTGCCAGTTATGCTACCTGAATCTCGGTCCAATCTTTTCATCTCCAGAACTGAATAGTCTAGATATAACCATACTGATTACTGATATTGCTGAACGGGGATGCTTTAAGCATCCAGTTAACAAGTCTTCCATGGCAAACAACTGTCGATATCCAGCTGTTTGCCATGGAACTTGCCATGTATATTGCCAATAGTAATGTACACATATACATGTATGTTCCTATGGAAATGATATCAGTACAAATATATTCAAAGTATGTCAAGATTACCATCCCTAATTAATCAATGAACTGTACAGTACATAAAATGATATATATCAAGGACCCACCATATATACAGGCAAGTGAATAAAAGGAATGTATTTCTTTTTCTAAATGTTTAAGTACAAATATAACAAACATATGACTACATATAAAGCATATAAACATACATATAAAGCAACAAACAAGTACATTCACAATCTTTTAAGATGCAAAACTATTTAAATTTGAAATGTTCAGCATTCTCTAATTATATTCTTTTTCTTACATTCTTAACCATTGAATTTGTAACATTTGATAGAACTCTTCCTAATCTGAAGATGGTCTTTTACCCTGCGTTAGTGCACTGAGTTTTTTTTCGGCATTAGTGCAGTGGGGTGTTTGTCCACCCTCACATTTTTTTTGGGTCCATAAACCATGTAAGTAAAAATTCATAAAGATTTACTCATTTATTTGGTAAAGGCATGTGTCATTATACATATGATTATATTCAGGTATGATTACATATTATATTAGTACATAAATCCATGAAAATAAAAAACAACATTTATCAAAACTCATTACATTAGATCTTATTATTAAACCAATAGTAAAAATCTAAATTGTTTTTTAAGCATTTTTGTCACTCTGATTCAATAGCTGACATTGTACTTTGGCACTCATTGCAAATGACAAGCAACTTGCTATGTTTGGTATTTTCTCAATGTGTTTATGAAAGTCAGCCATTTTGAATTAAAATAAACTTAAATTATTTTTATTCACATTGATTATTATATTTATTTTGATGATATGAAACCGTGCTTTACAATTTGTTTATGCTTCTAACACAATAAAGTGCTATAAATTAAGACACTTGGCGGTTTTTTTTTTCATCTTTATTTAGTTGATACGTGTGAAAATTTTTACACGTTTCGGGCTCTTAAGCCCCTCTTCAGCCAACTAAAACATTAAAAAAGAATATAACATACATATAAAAACATAAGTATTGTAGATATCATAAAAATATAAAAGGTACCTTTCACTTATAAAACAGTTTTACAAAATCGTTGATCTAAAACATATTTTGGACATAAACTTATTATATAACTAACACAAACTATAAAACATATTCTGAACATATTCTTGATATAAACATACTCTGGACAACAATTATCAATTTAGTATACAATTGATCATGCCTTCCACTCGTAAATCTGTTTTACGAAATCCTTATTTCCTTTGATTACCATTGACAATATAATACGAATTTACATAACTTTACAATATAAATTTACATATCTGACGTCTACAATATTTTTTCAATGTATGGTTATTGGTTTATTTAACATTTCATTTATTTAATATAGATTATTATATGAACTAATGATTTTACAATGTCTTGGAGTTGTTAGACATGATTGACAGTTAATATAAATTTACATATTATTTGACTCCCATTACAACATACAGGTTCTTGTTATTGTTGATTTATTTAACAGTTCGATAATTATTATTAAGTAGCACATTGCTCACAATAATAATAGTTTGGATCTAGTGAATACAATTAATATAGAATTTTTAACCAGTTTTCGTTTATAGAGATGCTAGGATTTTTATTTATACTATTTTGATTTTTGATTATTTCCATACTTTCTTTGAATTTTCTTTTATATGTATCTTTTTCTCTGTGTAAAATATCTATATTATTTTTGTCTATATTACAATTATTTAAAAGGCTCATGAAATGCAGAATTTAGTCTACGATATTTCAAATCGGCTAAATGTTCTTTCAATCTTACCTTAACTTTACGTTCAGTTTCACCTATATAAAATTTTTTATTTTCGCATGTACACGGAATTTTATAGACTACATTTTTACTTTCTTCTTTCTTTGTTATATTTGTTTTGTTAACTTGTTTTGCATTTAATCTGGAGATTAGCTTATCGTATGTCGGTACTAGTTTTACATTAATTTTTTTTACTTCTTTATTAACTTCTTCGTATAGACCTTTTATATATGGGAAACGAATGTATTTTATTTCGGCTTGTTTAGGATCTATTCTTATTGTTTTATCTGTTTTTT